AGACTGAACCATAGTGATTGTGAATGCATACTGTATATACATGTTACTCATCTACCCTTATATCAGGTCTTTATCTGTGCCTGTCATTGTTGCTACTTGTTTTCTCTTTTTCTATCCTATAATTTTCTTATTACTCCTCTCTCATGCCTCCCCAAGACTTGCTCATATATAAAAAATGGGCCAAAACCTCTCAAGGTCTGGCTCCTACTAGTTCCCCTGACAATTTGCCTGGACAAAAGGGGCAATAATCCCTAGCTTGAATCTGGTCTGAGAGTTAGATAAAGCTATAGCAATCCTGGTTTTAACATCCTCTTTTATAGAGAGCTTTCAATAAAATCAATGCCATCTTGGGGAAACTTTACTATTCTAAAGTCTTTTTCTTTCTGCTGTTTCATATCCCTTTTCACTTGAAACTTGCTAAATCTATAACAGAAAGCCTACAACTTTAAAGCTAATTGGCTCTGAGAGAGCAAAGTTCTTGAACACTGGGTGTTTGTCTATCAATCTATGAATGGGATATTGTGAATGTGAACAAGAATATCTGATAATGTTTGCCATCACTCTTCCGGCCCAAGACCCATCTCCTTGAACTCCCCTCCCCTCTTCCTTCATATAGTCTTCTAGCATGGCTGGGGTACTCACATTGATTAAGTGTCTCATTACATTAAATACACTTTACTTTGTCTTTTGTAGGTGTTCCCTATTTCTACTCATATACAAGAGGTAACTTTTTGAACTTAGAATCTTTATCATCAGGTGGCTATCTGACACCAGCACAGGACATACATCTTGGTTGGTTAAATCAAACTCTCTAAATGTTAAAGACCAAATATGAAGAATCATGATCAGTTGTGGCTGAGTAGCAACTTGGACTAAGGAAGTGCAGGACTAAGATGTGCAGTGTTTTGGGATTAAGTCAGAGCCTTCACAGCTTCAGTGCTTTTGCAAAGGTCAAGTAATTTTCACCACATATGTATGGCAAGACAGAATCTAAACTAGTTCACTCCTTGAAGACAAGCTGTCAAAATAGATGTGGTGTAGGTCTCTTAGCCTTTATTAGAGTGCCAAAAAATGTGGAATCCAGTGATAGTATGATTCATCCAGAACTGACTAACCTTTCCATCCTACCCCCTCTACAATGTGTTTTAAAATGAATATTTCATTATATCTTGAGTAGCCCTTTGACAGTTCATGGAATATACAGCAACTCCCTCACAGCTGTTGCAACTAGGATGTATTATTGTTCCCCTTAATTTGGATTATAAAAACCAACACTATATCTCTTCCATTTAACTCAAATCACTTATTATTTAGGAAAAAAATTATTTGTGGATGCAATATAAGGGGTGGTGAAGAGAATCTGCACTCAATATACAGCATTTTTTTCTAAGTAAAGAAGATTCTCGTAACCTTTCTTCCATACCTTGGGTTGAGATGTGTTTATTTCATCTGTCCTCCCTTTTTGATATGATGATTAAGACAAGCATCTATTGGAATATTTTTCATGTATATTTTTTTCTCTTTCTTTCATATGCCTGACTAAATATTCATGTGGATATGTTTGTAGCACTGTTCAGGTAAAAATGTTACAATGGATTGCACATTTGCAGTATAGCTGTTATGACATTATTTTCAAACACTCAATAAGCAAAAGGAAGTAAGTCTGACAAAAATCTTTCAAACAGGAATGACATACGGTAACAGTGTATGATTTATACCGCATCCAGTATCAAGACTGGAAAACTGGCAATTTACCTTAGGCCCTGCAATACTCTGATTTTCTTTCTCTTTGGTCTAAACAATTATAACAAGGTATTTACATATGGTTTGCATTTTTAAAAGCTAACCATTACATACTTTATTGATTTTTTTTATGGAAAGTTGTTGTCTACAACACCCCTTCATTTATTTACAAAAGAGACTTGTCAAACGAGACTATGACCCCAAACACTACTTTTCAACGACCTTGCCAGATCAGTACAAACTCTGAGACTTTAACACATCAGAAAGACAATAACCATTCTAGACATTCATGCGGCAATATAATGTGTGTATCACTCGTTGTGATACACATTACTGAAAGATGTTAGTGAATGCACAAGACGATATTCAAGTGTATGTATTACAAAGGTGGTTAGTGTCCCTTTACTAGTGGGTTAATGGTAAGGAGGCCATACTAACTGCTGGATCACAATGTCTGTTAATGAATAAATAGGTTTCTCATGTTACCTTGAAGGAAATGTATTGTACTCTTTCTCTATATATACCGTATTTTTATTCATTATTCTTACTCAACCCGAAACTTCCTGTTATCCTCCATTTCCTTCCTAGCTACTATAACTTCGACTGTCACTAATTCATGGCAGGTGAGCCAAGAAATGTCTCAAATAACCGAGCCAAATGTCAGTGCGAGAAAAGGGGGTGGAGATACAACAGACCTAACCAGTCGGCGACGGAAGTCCCTAATTACAGCCAGACCAGGACCTAATTCGATTCTATT